GAAGATTTGATATGTCCCGCTAAATGGGAAAAGCTACGCATGGTCATGTGGGGGCCAGGAATATTGATCAACCGCCAAATAGTACATGCAGCTTCCCTTTCCTCACACGCCAGACGAGGGCCTTTGGACTGGCGAGCTACTCAAGGCTGACACTGCAGTCGGTTTAGGTACCCTCCCACCAACACCAATTCACCTGACAGAGGCTCTCCAAATTGATTCAGGTGCCTCCCGGGTGCCATGCTAGTGGAAATGCCACACGCTTGTCGCCATCCTCAGGACCAACTTTCCGGGGGTTGTCGACAGCGATGCAGTAAAGGCCGGTCACTTGTTGTATTGCGGGCAGTGTTGATTTGTGCTGCTGCATGGTCAACTATGAATTGGCAATTTGTGTGTTTCGTTGTTTGTGTTGCATTATATTTATACATATATATATATATACATTATTTGTAGTTGCAATGCATTACACTGTCATTCCAAGCTGCGCATGCCGATGTGTTCTAAGGATGTATGGGAATTCAGAGTTTTATGGCTTTTGGGAGCTGCTCAGTCACCCGAGATAGTTTTTGCGATGTGTTCATGTCAAACAGATGTGTGTACTACACCGCTACTGAGTCTGGGCAAGGGCCTAATGCTGAATAGTGTGAAGAGTTGCCAACAGGTAGACGCAAAAGTCGACTTTCAGTGTTTGCTTGGGTTCCTAATTTTCTGTTTCTGTGCAAACTCATTTTCGCACCGCCTAACTTCCCAAGGAGGAAATTCAACGCACATTTTAGTGCATCTTGCTAACAGGAACGACTCTGCAAGATGCGCCTTCGCGTGCCTCCCGAATCTGGACACTTCAGAAGTATCATTCGGTCACTAGTAATAGTCATTGCGGATGCTGCCGGCCAAGCGATTGTTGAAGGAAAAGAGGCTGCACAAAAGCAAGCTCAGTACCCGTGTTTATGTTGTTTGGTGTTTTGGGATGTCTTTAAACATGAATACTTGCCATTCTGACTGAATTCCTTTGCAGGCAAGGATTCACTGCAAAGTGACCACTAACTAGTTTTTGTTTGTTTTTCTTTTACTGACCACTGGGATTGTCGTCATCCAATAGGACAATGACATGATGGTTGTGTTCCCGTGTTTTTCATGTCGGTTCATTGCGCCTGGTCCCATCGGGTTCTTTTGCTCCCAACCCATTGTGTGCTGCTATGTGGGTCAGAGGCACATGAATAGAAGCAGTCCTAACATGAATTACCGCAATTGGCTTTATATCACAGGCTACTGTCAGGCGCTTAGCAATCTCGAGCCTTGCAAGACAGGCCCACAGGAGAACATGCGGAGGACGGGACAATGTTCGCCCAAAGAGATGTGAGTTTTCGGGCTTCCTGGACGACAGGCGGAATGTTTTTGTCCTAAAGTCGGAAGCGTTCTGGGCCGGTTTCTTTGCAGAACGCATGCCGGGCAGATGGTTTTTTCCGTCATTCGAAGGGTGTTGCTTGGCTTCGCGTCTGAAAGTCCAGGCGCTCATGGATAAGGAGAGCTTCGAGGCAAGCGGTCCGTTTCGGCTGTGATCCACAAGCCAAACAACCAAAGCGCACATCAACATATTTCAATGAGGCAATGTCTAGCCCCTATCCCCGCCCATGGCTGTCACCCCTCAGAAGGCGAAGATCCCTCAACTGTCCTTCCACTTCAAGGGGCGATCGGGTACCTAGTAATCTGACAATAAGCCTGGTGAGATAACCCACTTCGGAGACGTATAACCATGGTAAGTGGGGGGTGGGGGGTGGGGCGGGGAAGGAACTGTTGTTTTTCTTTGGGGGGCGGGGGGGCGGGCGGAACGGAACCTTTTTTTTGGGGGTGGGGCGGGGAAGGAATATTTGTTCGCTGGACTCGCTGGACTCTACATATTAATTCCATGCGTTGTTTCCTGTTTTGGGGATGTGTTTCCTGCGAGATGAATCTACAATTCAACAGGCATGGCTCGCTGCTGTTGTGGGGGCTGCTACCGCCACTTCACTTTGGATGCGGCTGCTGCACACAGGAATTGACACCGCTCATGCTTTTCCTGGGGACTTAGGTGTGAGACTCTACTACACTGAGGTAGATAATGTAGGAAGGTCCAGGTGATGTTGTTGAGCTCCAGTATGGATGAGTAAGGACAATCGCAACAGAGCGACAGGTTACCGGTAAGTTTGTGTTTCCACATTGGGTGGCTTGGGTTGGAATGGAAGTGTTTGCTATCTCGTTCTTTTGTACATGTATTAGCTTCTTAGCCAACAGGTCCTCATCCATTGTACGTGGTGGAAGTACGCACGTGCTTGGAAGTGATGTTCTATGAAGCAGAGTGTTTGTTTCTTCGCCTCCCTCCGACCGTCCGACCGGCTAGGCTCACCATCAGATTCCACCAGCACCTGAAGAGCCTCCGGAAGAAGAGCTGTGAATCGGTTGCCCGAGAGGCCCATGAGGTTTGTCTCCGCGACAGGGGCCGTGCATGGAACATGGTGCTTGTGCATGAAACACCTCCATTTGCTTAAGAATATTTTATATTTTCCCCTGTTGACTTTAAAAGGAATTCACAACTACTGGGAATACTTTTATTTTTCCTGGGACCTTAACCAAATGGAAGAACAAGTGCGTTTGGGCATATCCAATAGTGTCAAGAGGATCACGCAGTGGGTCAATGTCAACACCGCGGAGATCAGACCCCCCAGGGAATACCAAAGTATTTTCCAAGGGCCCGGCCCATGTTTTGCCCATTGGAATTTGCATGCTTAGCTGTGCATTGCGCAGAGTCTCACCGAGCGTCCCTGGCTGGCGAGGCCAAACGTATCGCAGAGGGCAGGATTCGAGGTGGCTTGTGGAACCAGTTGCCCAGGTTTGTACAAGCTGATGGAAGGTCGAACTCTTCTGTGCAGGGGTTCAGTGGAACATCATGTCGTTAGTTTTTGGTGGTTGCTTGATTTATCTTAGCTTCATTTGACTCTGGCCCAGTAAGCTTGGACCTTCAAACACGACTCACCACACTTTCATGAATTCTTCCGCAGTGAAGACCAACAGGCGATGAATAGAGGCCCTCCCCTGCTCTTTCTTAGTAAAAATAAGTCGTAGTCCCTGCATGTTTGCCCTTTTTTATTCTTTCGCAGAAAAGGTATGAGACGAGTGGACGAGTTTCCAAGCCCACGGAGCTGTGGCGCATAAGACGTGCGCCTCAAGGAGAGTCATGTGGGCGAAAAACGCGGTGAGTGGCAGGCCTTGAAGGCCTACCTCGCAGATGTTTGTCAGCCCTTGTAGATTTGCGTGTGCTTCGTTCAGGGTACAGAGGCCCAGGTCGGTTTAAGGGGAAACCAAGAGTAAAACCACCCAGCTGTGGAGTCTCCCTGTTTTGGCACATACCCATTTGGTTCGCTTGGCTTTGTTTTGCTTGGTCTAGTTTGGTCTAGATGGCTCGTTGGCTGGCTCACTGCTTGGTGGGCTGGCTGGCTGGTTGGTTGGCCAAGTTGCAGCCATCTAGCCTGAGCGCATTGCATGAAAAAGGCACTCACGACTTCCTAATGAAGTTATACATAGTACGTATCACTTACCATCGGGTTACGACCTGTCTGAAGGAGCCCTTATTTTGGGTCGGTCATTTATCATAGCACATGAGCGAGGTTTTGGGTTGCTAATCTGAAGGGGGTCTGACGCTACGGCGCACGGACACTTCGCGCATGCACGGACTCCATCAGCAGGAAGTTGCGCTCCGATTGGGACTCTCGTGTGCGGATTCATGGGTGAAGAGAAGCGCGCTCTTGGTTCAGCTTGCACGGCCAACTTGCACAGCTCATTGATCCGGAGCAGGAAGAAGTATTCGAGCAAACAAATGAGTGTAGCGCTGCATGTGTACTAGTGAGACTGAAGCAAGGAACACACTATCCGCTGACCTTGTCCTAGCCGCTTGACAATGCATGATTGCACATAGCTGCTCGAATCTGCTTCATTTGATGAAGCGTTTGCCACTTGTGGTCGGTATTTACGTTCTTGGTTGGAGTGGCGGGGCATGGTGGGAACGTCAATTCCGAGAACCAAACTACCCATCCAAACCATACAAATCATCAAACACAGAGGGTTCATCCATAGCTTTCTTACCCCGGTTTGAGCTTTCCCTTGGCTGCAAGCGGCCAAAATCATGGAGCGACTCCCTGAAGCCAACCGAGCACTTTCACATGGGCTAAATGACCAGCTTCAAGAGACAGCCTAGGGTTTGTTCACAGAAGACAAAGTCAAGCACTCACAAACATACCTGCATCTCTTGAAAGTTAATAATTCCCACTCCAAAAAGAATAAAGTACTTTCTTCCATGCTGGAGTGATAATTTTCACTCCGTGTTAAAATGCCCGTTCGGGTAGTTCCGACTGCTTAGGCATCCGTTCGGACCCGTTCGGAACCCGTTCGAAACCCGTTCGAAACCCGTTCGAAACCCGTTCGAACCCGTTCGAACCCGTTCGGACCCGTTCGGACCCGTTCGGACCCGTTCGGAGGTACGTAAAAAATACGCCAACATTACGCAATAAGCCTTTGATAATTTATGTGCAGTGCTGATTTATGAACACTTCGCTGGTAGTGAAAATATCCGTTCGAGAGTAGAAATACCCGTTCGAAAGTGGAAATACCCGTGTCCTCAGGCCAAAAAGTACTTTTTCAATTTTGGAGTAGGAATTCTTAACTTCCAGGAGATCCAGGTATGCGTATGGGTCAAAAATCAACCACCAGGGGACCGCAGGTTGTAGTCCATGTTTCCGTTTACCGAGGCAATGGGGGTCGCCTATTCTTGCCCATCTAGGTGTCCTTTTTAGGTGAGTTTGGTTAAAAATTCCATTTACCAGGGAAACCCATCTATTTTTGCAAAAGGCCACCTAATTATGTTCTTGACCCTCAGCCAGATAGCACACTTGGAGTGTCCAAGCACTGCGCACTCGATATGTCGCTGGCGCTGGAGGTCTCCAGTAGGCATCGGGCAGTGGGGCTTGGGATACGCGGCACGAGTCATTCCGTTACGAGTATGGGGTTTTCTCAAAACGGTGGACCCCTTCTCTAGGGTTTAAAGTGAAAACGATGGTTTTCTTTGATTTCCCTTCAAAACCAAACTTCGTGTTTACAAAAAAAAGACAGACCCATTCCCTTAGCAGTTTGGCCAAAGTTGCACTCACCCTCAGATTTGTGTTTGTTGCCGGGCATAGTATGAGCCTTGAGTTTGCGGCCATGCACATCTTCTCCGAAACGGGTCGCCGTGATATCGCTTGAGGATCGGATCGTGATTGACTTCGTGACGATGGGGCCGTGTTTACAGATGAGCCACTTGCTCAAAACCGATTCGGGTAGAAGCTTAGCAAGGGCCAATCCCAACCCGAAATAGTTGCGGAATTCCGCCTTCTTAATTCTTGAAGCATGGTTCTGGGTCGACCATTTTAATACCGGGTGTTGGTAATGACTCAGATGAGATGGTGTTGATGAAGACGACGATCGCTGTGGTGCCGGTGTGATTGGCCCCGTCCCGCAGGGGCCCGCAGGCTAGTGGTTAGATAAGGGTAGACAAGGAGGCTCATGTACCGGAAAACAGTCAACTGTAACTGCACCACCCAACAGAATGCAAATAGTTGCTGAGGGTCAAGTCTTTGTCACATCAATGCAGGGTGTACAAGAGCTCAGCGCCCATCTAGATGCGGATTGAGACCAACAAACATGTAGCTCATTTAGAGGCTTCAATGGCCCGCTATTGTTTTGATATGCTCAGGAAAAAGAACACAGGGATAGTCAGCCCCAAGTGAGGCCGCCCTTCAAGCAGAAGCGGCCCTGATTGTTTGACACTATGTTTCATTCGCAAAGCTTGTCCAGCTTGCTGGCGATAGGGAATGACCTTCCGGGTTTTGAGAATGAACCGTTTTGGAATTCCCTTAAAGGAAACCAAATTGGGGATTGTCTTGCTTGGGGTCATTCCAGTTCTCATTCCCTGCCTCTCCAACCAGCAAGCCAACCGCTTGCTTTGGCTTCAAACCGGCTAGCTTCCAGTCGCTGGAGGCTATGGCTGGGATATTGAAGGGCAGTAGGGGTTTCCCAAAGGCTACAACACCAGCATGGTTTGGCCAGCCGTGTGGACAATTGTCCTTACCAGGGTGCTTGTGTTTCTCACATGTATACATGTATCTGTGTGTATATGTATGTATGCATACAAATTAAATAAGTAAACAAATATATGCATAAGCGCATATGGTTCCAGCAAGAACCGGACTCTTCGGCCGCCTTTCTACCTCCATTTTCTCCGAACCTCGTAGCGTCGAGGGTGGCGCGGCACCACCAGCTGATCACCTCCGCTCTCTTCGTGGCGGCGCTCATCGTGGTGGCCAGCTTTCCCAGCTTCGACCGGAGGCCTCGCCAGCGAGCCGAGCTTCGACCGGGTCCCGCCAAAGCAGCGCCTTCCCCCTCCCCCCCCTCCCTCCGTACGACGCGGCCAGGTTTTTAGAAAAACAAAAATGCTCGAAGAACTTTGGGAACAAAAGTTTGGGTCCCTCCGAAAGTTTTCACACTGTCCACAAGTTTTGGGCCCCTCGAACCCCCTCTCTCCCCATTCAGTCCAGACTCTGGTCCTCTCCGTCCTTCTCCTTGTGCCCCGTTTGGACAATGGGACCGTAACAGCAAAGTGGATGGAACTCTCGTTTCACGGCTTCAAAGTGCCGGGATCTATCGTGGGAGTTTTGCGTTATGAGAAAACTGCCCTTGAAGGGGGAACCTCTTTTTTGAGCGTGTCAAAGCGTTTGTTGTGGTTAAACGCAAAAAAAACAGCGGACTGAGAAGTCTGCTGTTTTCGGCTAGCTGTGTGTGTGTGTGTTTTGACTCTTTTGGAAAAGCATCGTGTAGACAGAGGAATTCGGGTTGACAGATGTATTGGCAAACACTGTTGTATTGGTGTTGGTTGTTGTTTCTGCTGCTGCTGCTGCTGCTGCTGCTGCTGTTGTTGCTGTTGCTGTTGCTGTTGCTGTTGCTGTTGTTGTTGTTGTTGTTGTTGTTGTTGTTGTTGTTGTTGTTGTTGTTGTTGTTGTTGTTGTTGTTGTTGTTGTTGTTGTTGTTGTTGTTGTTGTTGTTGTTGTTGTTGTTGTTGTTGTTGTTGTTGTTGTTGTTGTTGTTGTTGTTGTTGTTGTTGTTGGTTGTTGTTTGTTGTTTGATGGTTGATGGTTGATGGTTGATGGTTGATGGTTGTGGTTGTGGTTGTGGTTGTTGTTGTTGTTGTTGTTGTTGGTTGTTGTTGTTGGTTGTTGGTTGTTGGTTGTGGTTGTTGTTGTTGTTGTTGTTGTTGTTGTTGTTGTTGTTGTTGTTGTTGTTGTTGTTGTTGTTGTTGTTGTTGTTGTTGTTGTTGTTGTTGTTGTTGCTGTTGTGTGCTGTTGCTGTTGTTTGTGTTGTGTTGTGTTGTGTTGTGTGTGTGTTGTGTTGTGTTGTGTTGCTGTTGTGTTGCTGTTGCTGTTGCTGTTGCTGTTGCTGTTG